AAGCCACCCGTGAAGCAGAACTTGTTCCAGGACTGGAGCATGCCGCCCGTATAGTTGAGGCCGTGGTTCGTTTGGTTCGACAGTTGTATCTCCAGCGAACCGTTGCGTGTCGTGATCGCCTTCGGGTCGTACCACTCCTTGTTCCCCGTGGCCCAGTAGTGCAGGTCGACCGCTTCCCAGTACGGGTCGTCCCCAGGGTAGAAAAAGCGCCCCTCGGTGTTGAACTCGTCGCTGAAGACGAGCTGCCACTTCTTGCCGGTCACATAGTCGCTCTTCGTCCGCACCTCCTGCGGGGTGTCGCGATCGATGAGGCCGCGGATCCCAGGAATGTCCGGAACTTGTCCGGTACGATTGGTGCCCCCCAAGCCGAATCCATTCAGATACGACTGCTGTGGTTTGTTGAGCCATGAGATGATGGGGTACCCGCAACTCGGATCTGATGTTTGCCAGAGGTCTTGATGAACATGAATTAGGGAAGACGTACAATAGTACCACAATGCTTCCGACGAGAATAAGCAGACACCCCAGATTGACGAGACCGCGTCCCGTGAAGATGTGTCCGCTACTGTTTATGCGCTCTTTCCTCGGCTCTGGATTGTGCAGATAGTCGTCCTCTTCCAAACCGTTAAAGGTACGTGGGTCCATAGGAAGAATGTACTGCAAGAGCGTCAGCGACACGCTTGTCTGCAATGAACACAATCACAGCACCTTCTCCGATATCGCGGGTGGTGTAGCATCGTTTGTCATAGACTGTAGCTGCCGTTTCAGATTCGAGATACACGGTCGAATTTAAGAAGCATACCAACGAAGAATGAGAACTCGCGCGAACGAATTGCGCTGCTGGGGCGTACCTCGGTCGGGGCCGTCCGTAAACGCGTCCAGAGGCTTCTGCAGAAAGGAGGTGGGCAGACGATTCCATTCCTAGCGGACTCTGCACTAAGATTCTCCGAGAAGGATGCATAACACAAACAGGAAGGGCTGTAAAGGGAAAGGAAGTGGAAAACGAATGGAGGGGGTGGTGCTACAAGCGAAAGTGTCGACGGTGGTCATCAGCATGGAAGAAGTGGTAGGCATACATCGTCCTTGACGGGGAACTGAACCCTTCTTGGGAGGCCTGCCACCAATGGACCTTCTCTCACAAGATCTCTGGCCGTGTCGCCATCAGGGATCTGTACCATCATGGCCATCGGACCGCTGCTAAGCCTATCAGAGATGCCGAACGGAGCCGTAGATGACCTCTAGACAGCAACGGATGCCACCACGGCGTTCAACACCGTTAACGTCGCTAGTATTCGTGATGACTCTGACCATGATATTCTCGTAGGCGTGCTCGATCCTTGAGGCCACTGGTCACTGGCGGCGCTGAGAAACAATTGATAGGGACCGATGGACTAGCCGAGTGCCCCGCATATGGCACGCAAGCGACGTCGGGCTTCGCGTTCCTTCCCATCCTACGGGCCTATCGCTCTTACCAAGGCAGCGGAGAACATGAATTTGAAGTATGTTGAAGACGAGAGCCGTCTACGTCGATTGACACATGTTGGGGGACTTTGTGCGGGGCGACCAGTGCCAACATCACTGCAGACCCGTTGAGCGGCCAGTCTCAGCTAGCCCAACGGTCCCCATCAATAACCTCTCAACGCGAGTGGCTTCAAGGATTGAGCACCCCTATGAAGCTGCTCCAGCCATGCGATTCGTGAGCATGCCAGACAAAGTGGAGTATTGAAACACACCTGAGCCGACATCAAAATCTCGCCTTGCGCCGGGGTTCCCGGTGCGGTACTCAACAACGTTGAAAGGGTTCGTATGAGGGCCGTTTTCGTGATCTCTGCTTCGATGTCCCAATCACGCTAGTCAGGTCTTGCGTGGCGGAAGGAAGTTCGCATGCCGGGGAGTACAAGCCGGCTGACGTCTCCAGGTACCCAGCATACACTCGGCATATGCCCTCCCCTGAAACTTGCAGGCTGGCTTCGGGAGCAATAAGATGCAGCTCGCGGTGCTAGTTCATCAACCCGGGGCAATGTGCAGTGTGCGAGGAGAAGGCCGCGCCTTCGGGACGGCACTGGGCGCCACTTCTGTACAGGGGAGGTACAACGGCGAGAAGTTTGCAGCAAGTAAGTAAGTCTCTAGATCGCAGTAGGCAGCTCAAGCATGAGCGATAGTCGCGCTGTAGAGGATGATGTACGCGAAAGCGTTCAGTACGATGTGCTTCGACGGACCAGAATTGGACAGCTGGTCCTTCAGCAATCGTAGTCGTGGGAAGCGATCTCAGCTTACACCATGGTCAAGCCGTGTATATGTACTTATGGCGCCGCGGTGCACATCACGATTGCCAGGAAAACACCCGGGGTGTGGCGAATGCCCAAAATAGTACTTCTCAAGCCAAAAAAATTTGAGGCGTTGGATCCCCTCCCACGTACTGAGGGTGGACCCCGAGCTCTCATCTCGAGTTGGCAGGTGTCCAGAAACTTCTCAGTATCTACTCAAAGTGCTCCGAAGCTTTCTGGGTTCCTCGGGGCGACACAAAAGGGAAGCACGATGACAGGCATCCGGGGGCGTGCTGAGATGCATCAGGAAGCAGATTTTCTGGAGAAAAGCCGTAAAACATACATACATTTCGACGCAGCTATACTCGAAATCTAACGTTCCTGCTTGGAGGACAAGACAAAAAGACTGCATGCACTGTCGGAAGTGCAAGGACAGCTCGACAAGCACAATCGTGAAGGTCCTTGAGACATCCAGGTATCATCTATGATTGTGGCGACCGACTCGGATCGACACAGACGGAGGGCCGCTGTCAAGCAGACTATGTGGTTAGCGCATCTGCGACAGCTCCATGTTCAACGATAATTGAGTACGGTGACTACGGTCTATTCCCGGAAAGCGGACTGGGACGGGAAGGAGCACCTCCACCGAGGGAAGATAGGACGTCAGTCAGACACAACGACGCCCGTCCTTACTAGCCCCGCTTCTTCCCGAGACGGAAACCTGACGTTCGTCCGGTCCTTGATCGCGTTGTAGACCCTTCCCTCCAACTCGATATGCACCACGACGGTATGATGGGGACTCAGCTTGCAGCGCGAGAATGACAGTCGGATCGTCCGCTCGATGTCTCCAAAATCCTTCGTCCAGCCCGGCCAAGCCTCTAAATGGTGCTCTTGGCAATCGTGCGTCACGTCCGAATCAAGACCCCAGGTGGCGGAGTACTGCGGCGTCGCCTTCGCCCAACGCACCGCACTATCGGATGGCTCCCCGCACGTCCCGAGGATGAGCCGGAACCCCTCCTTCGCGTTGACGTCTTCGAACGTCGTCACCACCACAAGCGGCTTCCCATCCACAGGCTTGCTCCGCACATACAGCGGTCGTAGCTCCATTCCTAGCAGCGTCACCCTCCCGATGAGCCAGTGAGGGATACGGAACGGCGGCGCAGGGAGGAGACTGTGCAACGGGTAACAGAGGTTCATCGGGACGTCCCTCTTCGTGGGCGGCGGGCTGTCCGCAATGAAGATGTCGCGCCACTCCGCCGTAACCGTCTTGCCATTGAGCCGGAGGTTGTAGAGGTCATTGCCGAGGGAGATGAGGCGTGCAAAGGCGACGTTGCCGGAAGCCAGCCTGAATCCGTTGCCGCTGTGGTACTTCTTCCTGGTGGGATCCTGGAAAAGCCAGTTCGACGGGTGGAGCAGGAGCCCGACGTGCTCGCGGCCAGTATCGCAGAGAAGTACAGCGACGGTGAGCCCATCCGATTCGATGATTGGGAAGCGGCATTCCAGTCCATAGCTCGTTACGGAGAACTTCGGCAGCTCGACATGCCCGAAGGGACCGTACCGCCTCCGGGGGCTGTCTTCAGGTTCATTCTGAATGAGGCTAAGTCAATGGTTAAGTGTCAGCTGATGCCTGCAATTTCTTACAGGGTCCTTCTTCCACTGCCACTCGAGATACGGCTGGATCGGGTAGGTCGCGGATGGTACATAACGTATTGTCCGCCCGAATGGCTTGGTGAAGCTTGATGGCGAGTGGGCAAGGAGATAGACGTGGTTCTTCGACGAGGTGTTGAAAAACTTGTAGATCTCATGCCCTGCCAGAGGGTTTAGTGTGTCAGAATTTAACGAGCGGCCCCAAGCAAACAGGCTTGTGTCGAAGGACTGCTTCATGATCTCGTGTTGCAGGCGCTGGAACGCTTGACGTCCCTCCCCGTAGATCGTAGGCATGTTGACATTGAACAGGCCCATGAGGCAGTACGCCTCGTCCTCGACACGAGTCGTGCTCCGCGAGCTCGCCCAGTTCATGCGCTGCCCGACGCTGACGACAGAGAGGTGGGTCTCCCGCGTCAGCACTTGCCACCATACCCCAGTGACCTGCTGAAGTAACTGCGCGAGCTGTAGCTTGTTCCCGATGATCGTCCAGTCCTGCGCCACGAAGATGACGAGCGCCGGCGCGATGAGCTCCTGCAATGTCCACCCGCGCTTGTGCCAGCGCGCGGTCCGGAAAGCCGAGTCGGGCGCTTCCAGCACGCAGTCGCTCGGGACGTCCTCGAGGTACGCGAAGCAGACCTCCGCGCAGGCATACCAAAGGAACATCGAATTGATCGCTTCGGAGAGCTCTGTACTGCTCGTCTTGTCGATGCAACACGTGTCTACCCACGCCCACTGGTACCCGTGGCGTTCGGCGAGGATGCAGCACTCGCGGATCTTCGCCGATGCGAGGTCGCGAGGGTTCTCTCCGGTGGTCTTGCATTGCTGGTTGGTAGCTTGAATCTCCTCGAACGACTGCTCGCAGTCACTCCAAGTATGGGATAGGATCGCATAGCCGCCGGTGACGGTTTCCGGGGCAGAGAAGAACTGGAGTTCAGCGCGAGCAGTACTCAAGAGCCACATCGATCTGAAGTTGTCTTGCGATGAGGATGTGAGAAACTATGCATAATCGCATCTAGGACCTAGCTCACCATGCCCGTTGGCCGTAATAGATGTAGCTGTTCAAGTAGACGATGGGGAGGATCAGGTCTCCTCGTTGACTCTTGATCGACATTTGAAGACGAGGGCCGTCGCAGCACCCGTGTGAATCAACCCGTGTTGACACTGCAGGCAGCCATGGCAACCGACCGTGCTGCATGTTTGATTCAGACACTGTGTTACAGTTACTGACCTCGCAATAGATCGGGTTCCGCGATATGTACTATGTAGGGGTCTCCGGTAAGTTCTTTCGGCATATCGAATTTGATCCATCGGCAATAGTCGGAATCTAGTAAATGATATCAGCGGGGATTGTACGATATGTCCTAATTGACTTAGCTTGTCTACTTCTCAGCACCGATGTGCTTAGATAGTTCGACTCACCTTGGACCAATTTGCAAATGCTACGGTATGCGGCAATCTCGGGAATGACATCTTGCAAGAAAAGGTGGACATAGGGTATATCTGTCAGAGCCTGTGCGACGAAATAGAGGGTCGAAGTGGAGTTGAGATTGCCCGAGATCGCACTCCACCTCTTCTCGAGCGAGTGTGAAAGCATCCGCCGCACAGCCCGAATGTTGGTTTTTCATTGGCTGGTACTTAGTTAACATCGTGATTGCCATTCAGGAAAGTGGCCAGCTCTCCGCATACCCCACCTTTGCTTGCTCGAGATCCAGGCGATTGTGTCTTGAGCGACGTAGAAATGGCCTACTTAATTTTGCCATGGGCTCTCACAATTATACCCTAATGGGAGAAAACCGGGAGAAACAAGCTGGAGAAATGAAGCAGAGCGGGGGACCTCAATTGGAGCCTTGAGAGAACTGAGATAGTGAAGCTGAGAAGCGCCTGCGCCTTCATTAGCGCCCTGAGCCGTGCGTCCTGCAAGTCGACTTCAGCCTTGCAAGCTCTGCTGTACCTCTCCATCACTGCCATATCCTCATCTACCCTAGTATATCTGGTCCTCTTTTACATGGATCGTCCAGATAGACCAAGCAGAGATGGAGCAAGAGAGCCAGACCGACATAGGAACGATGACCGACGGAGGTCGCGCTCACCTCCTGACGACTACTCCCGGCGTCGCTCCAGGTCACCTCGCAGACGTTCTGCGAGTCCACGACGACCACAATCTCAATCGAGGTCAAACTCGCGATCCGGTAGGAGAGATAGGCGTGACAGGAAGCGCCGCGACAGGTCCCCTTCACGGTCGCGCTCACGATCAAGAGAGAGAAGACGGGACCCAGAACGTTTAGGGGAGAAACGGAGGAGGTCGCGGTCACGTTCTTCTTCGAGCTCGTCAAGCTCGGCCGATGATGGGGAGAGAAGGCATAAACGCAAGAAGGATAAGCATCGCAAGCGGAGTAGGAGCAGAGACAGGAAGGACAAGAAGAGGAAGAGTAAGAAGGACAAGGACAAGAAGGTGCGTACAGCTTGCGAGTGCTATGGTGTTTATTTTCCAATGCACGTCTATCCTGCAGAAGCACAAGAGTGGTGCTGTCGACCACCATCAGTGGGGGAAATATGGCATCATCAACGAAACCGAGTACGTCCACGTCCTATTTGCTCTTCCGCTACACCAGATATGTGCTTGGCTGGGTCACACCCTCGTCACACCCTCCCCTGGGCAGACCTTTCCAAAGGCGTCTCCTAAACTGGCGGAGACCTAGCGGGAGGACCTACGAGAGGTCCCAGAGATCGTTGCGTGTTGGTCACCTCAGAATCAGGGCGTCGCGTCTTGACCCGCACATACCTGTGATGTACCCATGTGCATGTCGTCTCATATGTCTATATGTCTAGCTTGTATAACAAGGAGCAAGAGTTCCGCGCATGGCTTGTGGAAGAGCGGAAGATCAACCCGGAGACGATTTCGAAAGACCAGACGAAGAAAGAATTTGCCCGGTTCGTGGAAGACTACAACACTGGTAAGTTCCCATATCATTTGGCGTTTCCTCTTCTTCGCCTACAATTCCCCGTTCTGTCCACACTCTCTACGAGGCAGCCTTGACTGACGATACCTTTCCCCTTTCCTCCGCAGCTACGCTCCCGCACGAGAAGTTCTACAATATGGACGACTATGAGCGGCGCATGTCCGCGCTTCGCGCCGGCGAGTACGTCCCACCATCAGACGACCTGTACGACCCTACGGCGGACATGCGCGCGCACGCGAGCAACCACAAGCGGCGCGCAGTCGAGCACGACTCGTACATGAATAAGGAGCAGCTGATGGAGCTCCGCAAAGTCCAGAATGAGCGGATCCAGGTGCGTCTGCCTCTTGATCAGAGACGAGATTGCTGACGCGAGTCGGGGGCACAATGTAGGCGGCTAAAATGAAGCAGCTGGGTATGGATGTCAAGCAGAATATGGGAGTTCGGATGGACGGGACCATGTTCGATGGCTAATGTGGGCTTGAGCGCGGACGCAAGCGGCGGCTCAGGGTTGGGCCGATGACGCTGTATGAACGGGGTATGCGTATGGGCACGGGAATGGGCATGGAGCTGGACCAAACGTAGGCAATGTACGACTGGTCGCGGAAGAAGGACGGGATGATTTTGTCGGGGTATGTGAGGGGGGGGGGGTTCAAGGTTGATTGGGTGAGGTGTAGAGTTACTGAGTTGGTGCGCATTTGGACGATGTTATTGTATGCTCTGCAATGGCGAACGACTTACTACCTTTCGTAACCTTTTGTAGAGAACGATGCCATAGCGCGTTCCGGGTGTTCACGTATTATAACGTTATAAGGAGCTTTCGCGGACGGACAATCGAGTTCAAGTCCGTCATGCATACGATAAGGATCAGGACTTGAATGTAGAACTGCGCGTAATCCTCTAGGCTGTCACCTGCGTGATGTCTCCCATAACAGCAGCTGAGGTTGATTGTCAGTGCAGAATCGTGCATTGCACAATGCATCTTGTACTCATACGAGCACATATACCAGAACGCCAAGCATGGCCAGACCCTCTCTCCTACAGTACTCAGAACGTGGCTGGCCAGTTAATTTGGTTCCGCGCACAAACACTTAGGAGACACAATACATTATAATCGGGTATGACAATGCGATCATGCAGGTAGTTCGAATTTTTGTCCTTGCAGCACCCTGTGGTCGCCATCGCACATGTCCATTGAGCACAACACGTCCGCAACACGGAAAAAGGGTAGACGACGTACTTCGTGAAGTAGACGTAGAAGAAGTCAAGGTAGAGCGCGGTCTGCACGATACCCGCAGTGACGGCAATGGGGTCGACCATGTCCTCCGTAAAGTATCTGTGGGGATGTGATTGGTCAGTATGCTGCGCGTCATTTTGCGTCTCCGGCGATAGCTGCGCATGGCACGCTTGCCAGATACCACGATGTCCCTGGAGGAGGCTGCTTCTAGTCTGGAGTGGAATGGGGGTATCCGGAGACCGAGGCGCATATCTGCAACATGTCTGCAGCCAATCTGCATGAGGCAGACAACGTCCGGACGCAAAGAAATGCGTGATACTCTTGACCAAGCACCGCGACGCGACGCGCAACGAGAAGCCGTCGCGAGACACGTTCCACGAAAACAGACGACCACAAACGCCGATGACGTACCTATAGATCCAATTCGGGATGTACAGCGCGCGATACGCGCCCAGCGCAGCCAGGTAGTGCGTCGTGATCGTCTCCGCCTCCCCGGTACGCTGCAGCATGAACAGCTGCGGAAGGATCGCGACCGCCTCTAGGAAGATCGAGAACGACCAGAAGACTTCGGGGACGGTAAAACGGTAGTGAAAGAGCAGCGCGAGGACCGCGCTGGGCCCGAGGAGATACTCGACACGGAACGTGTCTATCGACGGGTCGTGTGTTGGCCTAGCGGGCGGTCATCATGGGGACGCGTGAGCCCATACATGGTGAAACGAGTATAGAGGACGGACCTGTACTTGTACCTCATGAGGTAGAGGATGTAGCAACTGCTCGCGATGAAGAAGACCTTCATGGTGAAGTTGTATAGCGACACCCAGTCGTAGAAGAGGTCGAGATAGCGGGTGATGAACACGGTGGCGTAGAGCGCCTGCGTCTTGAAGGAGATGCCTGCGAGCGGTGGTCAGCACCGTTGGGTAACAGGCCGGGGGAAGGGCAAGGGCAGAGCATGCGTTCGCGTGGTCGTCCGACTCCTTGTCACCGCGCGTCATCACACCGCTGGCGCGGCATTTCACGACGACATATATGCGAGCGCAGATAGGTGACGTTTTGCGCATATGGGGTACCGCCTGGTCTCGCCTAGTCCAAACATGTACGGCCTCCCAGCTACAGTTGCCGATATGCGAGGCAGCAGTCTTCCGGACTCGACTCGAACCGAGGAGCCGTCTGTGCTACCAACCGCTTTCCGTTCTGACCCTCCTCCATTTTGACCCTTCTCCAATATTGTGGCACCAGCTTGCATCGCGCAGCATAGTACATTGAAGTAACATACCTCGACATGACCGGGTGGACCGAATCTTCTGCAGCAGGATAATTATGGACGCCAAATGGGACAAGTCCCCTAGGTGGGAGGCTCAGCTTCAGGATATACCGGAAGATTGCCAGAAACGTACCAAATAGCCGAAACAAGTTCATGGCCGTGAACGAAGGAGATTGCTGGAGACAGACGACAGCGGGCTCGGCAGCGAGGACGATGACGAGGGAGTAAGACACGACCGCCTGCGACGTGTACAGAGACGCCCGGCGCCCTGGCACCGCTTCGGCATCCTCCGGAAATAACCCTCTTATCATTCGAACAACCGCGTTTCTGACGGATAAGTATCATCTTTCTGACAGGCGCTACATCTACTACCAGATCTATTCACGAATATAAGGCATGGTATGTAGGAGTCGACAATGAAGCGCATAGGAACCGCCTTGTGAGAAACTTCGTGGAAACACAGACCCAGTCTGTTCTGCCCACGAAGTAGCGAGGAGTCGATCGCTCATTGATCAAGTACCATCATCGCAGTTTCGACGAACAACTATGCGGCGAACATCCTGCCGTCAATTGTAGTTCTTCTAGCTTTCTGTCGGCCGCCTAAACACCATAGATTCTCTCCTTCTAGATCGACCTCTCGGAAGATGCGGCTCCTCCGTACGAGCACAGGCAAATTTCAACATTCTAACAGCCCGGACGATGCGATAAGGGGCTACGCTATCAGAGTCTTGTCCCATGTCTAGCAGCAACGGAAAAACTTTGTCTTTCCAAGAGTTCCAATCGCAGATCCCATCGGTCCAGGAGACAGTGCTGCCTTTTGCGGCGGCGATGTTCGGCGAGTGCTGCACTCTGGCTGAATTGCACAGATACCGGTGGCTCTGGATGATGTATTGACTACACCGCCGGGCGACTCCAGATATCAAAATGGTCTTAGGAGGCAACCTTATAGATCACGTATGTCCAATATCATAAGACCGAGATGCGCGCCATACGGGATGGGTATCAGCCGCCTATATTGGTGCCACATGGTGGCTGACATCGATGAAGTCTCATCCCGTTGTCTCTACGATACTTCCTCTCTGACATTGTTCTCATACCGGGCTCATACTGTGATGATATCGTGAACTGCATCAACTATATGTCTGAGCACGCCATCGCCTCTCGGCCAATCTTTCCGCTTTCCGGCGGACACGTGAAGGTTTGGGCTTGTTGCGAGGTATAAAGTTTTTGACGACGTCGGACTTATGGCAAGAATCATCTTTGTCCTCACCATCCTCGACCTTCACTGCACCTGTGGTCTACCTGCATCTCCATCCCTTGGTCCAGTACGGTTCGTCTCTGCCATCATTCTCTATCCCTTGCATGTGATACGCCCTTTAAGGCAGTTGCTCATCATTCTGTATAGTAGTCAATTGAGGAGGAAGATTCGGTGATTCACATCGCCTTTCCTTTGGTATGTTCTGCCCTTTGAATCATCTTGATTCACGCAGGACTAATGTGTTGTGCAGTTAGCGTTGTCTCAGTATATGGGGCCAGCAGCCAAGCGGGCAGGCTTTGTGACACGCAGGAGTCCGGGGTTGGTGTTGTCGAGCAGGTGAGTCGAGCAAATCGTATACGTGCTTTTGGAATCCCTCGATTTGTACATCTGCTGACCAGCAACATCGACTGCCAGACTCGCGATGCTCATGCGAGCAGGACAGCGGGAAGGAGACAGAACAGGAGGGTGTCCGAGGGGACCAGGTATCGTGTTGGGCCAGTATCCCATGTCGTTCCGTGTAACATGCATCCCGTACATATTATGTAGTCTGTAACACACTCAATATATTCATATTTGAATTCTACACCTATATGATTCGATGGCGATTATTCGAACGTGAGGGATTGTGGGCAGAAGCTGGCGTAAAACCCGGCAGCTAATCAAACGGGCGCCATCGGAACCATGTAGAGTCGATAAAGGGGAGAACATGGACTATAGACAGGGGCGACCTGAATGACATATGGGATCAGCGGTATGGGATCAAGAAGGTCTAATGTTATATTGATGAGAGGTACCCCGTGGATAGAGATTCGATATGGCCGAGACCGGTCAAGACTGATTTGCAGTCCTTTGCGGTCTTGACCGGTCTTGACTGGTTATGGGACCGGTCATGACCGACTCGAGGCTAAAAAAGAAGTGAGATCAATGCCGAAACAGCTACTATAATGCTACTTAGTCTGAATCTGAGCCGCTAGTTACATCATCATTCCCGTATGCCTCAGCTATGATACGCTCCGCCTTCTCCATGCTCTCAAACTTCTGCAAATAAATCTCCTCAATGGTATCTTGATTAGCGCGTGCGTAGTCAACCAGCTTAGGCTTCCAGTGATACTTCAGGCATTTGATCTGCTCGAAAAGCTCTGGATCGAGGGTGGAGCGGCGGTCGGTAGACACCTGTTTTGCCCGTGAGAAAAGCGACTCAATATCTACCGAGGCTGCGGCAATCGGAAGAATGTCTATAGACATCCGACCTAGCGTGGGCCATGACCTGTGAAAGCACTACAACAGGGCAATTTGGTGAAAACAACTATTGGGGGCACAGATAAACACACTTACCTCCCAATACTTCACGGTATCCATGTCCTTCTTGACCTCCGGAGTGCCACGATCCTTGAACTAGCTCTCGAGCTCCAATTTCCATCCGTCCTCAGGCTCTCCACGCCGCAGCGTGGCTTGGCATGCACGATCATACTCATCGTCTGAATCAGTCCCAGTGGGAGACAATTCCTCAGCTCCTGGTCTCGCAGCATCTGCTGTCAGACGCCCGAACCGAATGAGCCAGTATTTCCGCATCTAGAGCAGGTAAACATGAGTAACTAAACAGCAATAGTCACAATACAGAACCCACAGCCTTTTCGACAACTTCACGGGCATATGCGACCCAGTTCCGGGGGTTTGGAATGCCAGCTGTCACATCAGCCAGATATTCGGCCTCTCCACCCCACTGGTGTTCTATGTACTCAAACTTGTAGTAGGGGTGAATGACTATTGTTGCAGCATGTTACGTCAGTAAAGAGCAAGAGCAGAAATAACAAAAGCCACGTACGGAGGGCGAGGATGTAGACGTCTGCATTGTTCAGCCTCTTGTAGTACTTGTCAAGCTTCGATAGACCTGCTTTGAGAGCGTCATGAAACAACCCGTAGTCAGGGTCCTGAGACTTCTTCTCCCACTTCGAGACAAGGCGCTCGATAGTGGGGATCACCTGATGCAATGTTGGCGAGCGTGTGGTGGAACATATCTGATGATAGCTATTTGCATCCTATATGGTGTAAGAACATGCATTAGTATTTTCCGATCACAAGACAAGTGCAAACGGACATAAGGCACATACTTCTAGAATTTTACCGCAGAGATTGACGCGCTCCCAATCATCATCCGAAAGCATGAATGCTGACCACGGAATCTTCTTCGGAGGTGCACCCTTCCGTCGGATAGTGGTGATCGGTCCAAATCGGAGGTCTGCGACCGCCACAAATGCTTTCATTGTCTGCTCGGATACACGTCAGCAATATGTACAAGGTGATTTGTCCGACACGCAAAACTGTGGGGAGACACCCAAAAGAAGAGGATGAACAACAAGCGCATGGCTCAGAAGATCTCGACACCTCCAACAGAGGGCTCAGGGAGGGGGGGCAGGAGCATGAGCACGAGCAGCAGGAGTATGAGCATGAGCATGATTGCGAATCCCAAGCAGGCGATATCGAGCCTCTCTGCGAGGCATTCGTTATCCAGCCGCATAAGCTGTGATCCGCCCTGTAGTTCAATATAGCCAGCGACGTCGTAAACGGGGGCGACCAAAACACGCTCCCATTATGCCTCACACTAAGTATTTCTAGCGTCTCCACCGTGCTCAGGTCGGTGTGCGTGTACGCGAACCCGTTCCTGTCGCCATTTGCACGTGCGACACGCTCCATTGCAATGCGCGTCCAGAGTATCGGGGAGTTAATCGCCACCTCTCCCCAACACGGGCACACGAGCATCAGGTTTGAGAAGGTGAGCGAGTCGTCGTCTTCTTCGTCCAGGACCGCAATCGAGAAGATCGACGAGAGCAGATCGTTGGGCATGCGCTGGACAGGAGGGTGCATACGGACGGCTGAGAGTATTGTCTCCGGCAAGTAAGGTATCGACAGGTACAGAGCTGATCTTCGAGGGCTTGATATCCACGGAGCAGCGGATGCGCCACACGAAAAGCTTCCTGCTAGTGGTGCAACATCCTGTGGACGACGCTGGGATGAGGACTTGTCGGCGTACGCCGCGGCCATGAGCGCGGCTATGTCGCATGCATCGTACGGTGGGGGCTTGGTGAAGTACTCGGTCGTCCAGGATATTGTGGTGGGTGGGCGAGCGAGAGGCTGTTCGAGAGTAGCGTGCGACATGGCAGTGTCACGAACTGCCCTCACGGCGCCACGTTTCCTTTTCGATTCGGACCATTGCCTCGTACGTTTCCTTTATTGTTCACTACTCGCTATGGTTTCCCTTTGTCCGCACACGGACAATAGCTCCCTTTGTCCCCACGTCCACTATTGTCCTACACCCCTTGTACTTCGTACCCATGGCGACGCTATTGTTCTCTAGCGCCCATTGTTCGTTCCCTGTATATAGCTGGATCCCTTGCTACCTGGAGACTCTAGTTTCGACCTCTTGTCTCCAGGTAAGCCATCGTGTATTTCGCTCTGTAGATACTTCACTCAATACACAGCTTGTCTCCAGTCCTGCCTGTTGAGCTCTGCTCCAGTCTCACTGCGATCAGAGCTCGTCGGCGCTCCTGCCTGCCTCGCTCGTCTCCACTTACTCGCTCAACAGTCAGTCGTAACAGGCAGAAGGGTGCATGCGGGGGATAGGATGGATGAGGGGAGTGTGGTGCAAGATATAATCTGTGGCGGAGCGACGGATCGTGGCCTGTTGTGCGGCGCAAGTAGGCCTTGTGGGTGAGGGCGCGGTGAAAGGGAGCTAGGACAATAAGACATTTGTATGGTGTTTGAGGCGTAGAAAGGATGGACGAACGCACCTCATCGTCATCAGGTCGTACAAGACGGCTGCAGAGGGCGCTATGGGATCAGGCGGACTTGAGCGGCACGCTGTGCTTCGACGGACGGCAGGCAGGGATAAAGTATGAGACAATGTTGCGATCCGACACTAGCAAGGTGATATGCGGGACAAAGAGAA